AAAAAGAAACTTTAGAGCAGTTTTTCTAGAATTGATTACTTTTTGCATAAGTAACCTGTTTCACATCAAAGCACATGCGCTTTATGCATTCTGCTTTGCTTTAGAACTATTGAAAACTGTTTCCTACATTTTTTTTGTATTCAATTCAATTATTTCTATTGCATCAATTCCCAATGATTATATTTAAAAGGTGGTGTGGGCTGCACATGACTAATATTTTTTTTTTTTACTTGCTAATCATTCGATTTGCTCTGCAAATTTTTCATTTCATTTTCGTTGAACTTCAAATATACATTTTTTCAATTATTCTGCACTTTTACTATATCTTCGTATTCGCTTTCATATTCTTTTGCAATTTTCGCTTATCTAAACAAACTTTAGCTAAGCAGACTTTGCAAACAGCTGAAATTGAACAAAGTTTGGAAAACATTCAATTTACTCACTTCAATTATTGCGGGTAAGAGCAGCTCACAAAAAAAAAAAACAAAAAACTGTTGCTCATAGAAAGTAGCTGTATGCACAGTTGGGAAAAAGAGCAGTGTAATTTTTTTTTTTTTTTTTTTAACAAAAGTAAACTTTTCTTATGTATTTATCTCTGGGGCAACGGATTTTTCTTACTAATTTCAAAAACCATTACAATACTAAGTCAATATAAGGTTGTATGTATGTATTTGGTTAGTTCAATCAGGGTTGCTAGGGGGGGGGGGGGGGNCGGCTAATTACATTATTATTTAGTTTTTAGTATTTTAAACTTTATAAATTTTTTTGCAAAAATTTCTTTCGGGTGTTTCTTGTTTCTAACATGCTTTTTATTTACCTCTTTTTCTTCCATTTGTGTAATCAACACTCAATAGCTTCTATGGTTCCCGTTAGGGTTATGGCAAATTTCCCAAACGCATATTTATGGCTTATTTTTTTTTTTTATATTTCGTTACGAGCGTAGGTTTTTTTTGTTAGCTAGCAATACTAATCTTGTGGTATTGCCTATCGCAATATACATACGTCTCATATAATTTATGGCCTAAACCTAAATTTCCGAATTTTAGTAATCATTTTAATGGACGCAATTGTCAAAAAAGCTGTTGTCATTTTTTTTCTTGTAAACGGTGATGCATTAGGCGCCTAAGGTATAAAATTTAAGACAAACATTTTACCTAATTTTCAAAGTCAGCCTAAAAACATTCAAGAATAAAGGCAGCGTACAAATATCTAAAGAAACAAATGGCACTAAAATTTTTTCAGTACTCATTTTGATGGTGTCACACAAACTGAGGGACCTAGAATGCTTTACGATAACAACTGTATCCTCGCAGCCATGATCGTTTAGTAGGAAGAGGAGTTCATCTGTAACCATAGTCCACAGGAAAGGAGAGAGTACACCCCCTTGAGGGCAACCGCTTGTGGCTGTAATTCTTTCGTACCTCTCAATTCCATACAGTTCTTCCTTGTTTTTAGCATAGAAGGCGCACAATCCTTAATAATGGGGCTTACTGCCTTACATATCGGGACATATCTTATTGCTCCATATGATGTTCTGTTAAAAGCCCTTGAAATTTCAATGAAAGCACAAAGGGCTATGTTCTTAGACTCCAAAGCCTTTTCAGTTTTCGACGTAAGGCTATGCATGGCAGTCTCAGTGGATTTGCCTGGTTGGTAGGCAAATTGGTTTTTATTAAGTTGTCGCTCCGTTAGGTTGACTTCCCTTATGTTTTGAGACAAGATTTTCCCCATGCTTTTTAGGGGAAAGGAGGCTAAATGGTTTGTAGGATGAAGGCATCTGCGCAGGTTTACTTGCCTTCGGTAAATATACGAGTTTACCTTCTGTCCATAAACTGGGAATATGGCACAATAAGAGCGATGCTATGTACTGTCTTGAGCGGACTGTGGATACATATTTTCTTCCTTGTTGAAGTAGGCAAGGATAGATCCCCTCCGGTCCTGGTGATTTGTATGGGCTAAAAGTAGATACCGCACTCTTTCTACCGAGGTGAGTTTAGTTGCAAGGCTTTATTCTGCCATCTCATTTTCTCAAGCTTCTTGCTCCACCAAGAGACATCACGTTTGTATTTTCCCCCTCCTTGGGGACAGCTACTGTTGAAGTCTATTCCAGTGTCTGAATTAAGCTGTTCAGCCTCAGTTTCAAGGTTCTGTGCAGTCGCAATTTCATCACCAAGACTGTTTCCACCTTCTCCGATGATAAAGCGAAAGAGTTCCAAGTTCGTTTTTCTATTTATAAACTCAAGGAACTACGCACTCCTTTTTTTTGGTGTCGGTGCTCCCCCAAACAGTACTATGGGCATTGGCATTGGCATCACAGCAGAGGATCCATGGGCTGCCACTCTGCCGGCAGTGATCTATTAGTGCCTTTGCTTCAGGTATCGGAGCTATCACCTAAATACCAACATATATATAAAAATATGACTATCACTATCTCAACCAAATGTCTAAATTATATCAATGTTGCGAATTTGCTTGTTTCTATCCGTAATTTGCTTAGCAACTATAACTAGAAAACGACACCTGCATGAATAAAGTAAACAAAAGTAAATTAATATTTGATGACAATTTTATTCCGTGCACTAAAATTACGGCTTTATCAATTTGACGTTTTAGTTGTTATTTACTTTAGTTAAAGAGTAAAAAACAAAACTTTAGAGCAGTTTTTCTAGAATTCATTACTTTTTGCATAAGTAACCTGTTCCACAACAAAGCATTCTGCTTTGCTTTAGAACTATTGAAAACTGTTTCCTACATTTTTTGTATTCAATTCAATTATTTCTATTGCATCAATTCCCAATGATCATATTTAAAAGGTGGTGTGGGCTGCATATGACTAATATTTTTTTTTTACTTGCTAATCATTCGATTTGCTCTGCAAATTTTTCATTTCATTTTCGTTGAACTTCAAATATACATTTTTTCAATTATTCTGCACTTTTACTATATCTTCGTATTCGCTTTCATATTCTTTTGCAATTTTCGCTTATCTAAACAAACTTTAGCTAAGCAGACTTTGCAAACAGCTGAAATTGAACAAAGTTTGGAAAACATTCAATTTACTCACTTCAATTATTGCGGGTAAGAGCAGCTCACAAAAAAAAAAACAAAAAACTGTTGCTCATAGAAAGCAGCTGTATGCACAGTTGGGAAAAAGAGCAGTGTAAATTTTTTTATTTTTTTTTTAACAAAAGTAAACTTTTCTTACGTATTTATCTCTGGGGCAACGGATTTTTCTTACTAATTTCAAAAAGAATTACAATACTAAATCAATATAAGGTTGTATGTATGTATTTGGTCAGTTCAATCAGGGTTGCTTGGGGGGGGAGAAAAGTGGTTATAAGAGCATTCATCCGTTCAACATTATTAAAAATATAATTTTTCTTTTAAAGGTGAACAATTTCGCTGGCGCAGATTTTTGCTTTTTGAAACATAAATGCATATGGATGTAGCATGGCTAATATATACCCAACTGCCTATGTACATACAGTTGCGTGCAACTAAACAACGACGCCTACTCAAATACTAACAAGAGAGCTCGTAGTTCAATTTTGTAAATGAATACCTTAAACAGGGATTACGTGATTTGTACTTTTGTACAGATTTGTATTTTTTGCCACTCACAGACAGGTGTTGTCTAGAAATAATGACTTCAGCTCATTAACCACTTGTTATGGGTCTTTGTACTGCTAGGAAATTCACGAAAATTATAATCATTCATGGCTGATACTTTCTAAAATTAATTCGAAAGCTCTTCCATGCCAAAGCATTGTGATGCCGCCGGCATATTTCAGCGTGGGTATAGTACAAAGCGGATCCAGGTATTTGTATTGTGGGTATGGAATATCCTATTTCTTTGTACAATTTTCCATTCATTAAGAATCCAATGGCGGTACTTCTTTTGCGAATTTTGATAAATTTTTTTTATAATCTCCGGAGAGCAAAGGCTTCTTGAAATTCCTTCCGATAGGTCTCACTTCACGAAATCGTCCTTTTACGATGTCGACAGCTCTTGTGCCTATTCGCTTTGCATAAACCGCAGATAGAATTTTATATGCCGTGTTGCGCAGGTCCTTTTTAAAATTATCTACACAGAATGTATCTCCTCGTTAGATGGTGTTACCCGCTATTTTTACGCGTGGAACCTGTGTTATCGCTGCATTTCTTCTGCATTGTATAGCAACTCCTTTATTACGGATTTTTACAATGAATTTTTGCCAAGGCTTCTTTTTACCATAAAAAATTTAATTCTAACTAATTAGTATTTCACGTACAGATTGATATAAATATGTCAATCACAGGGGTACGATGCTGTTAATTAGTTGCACGCAACTGTATATATGTACGTCCTAGCATACAGTAGTGGCCACATAATTAGGGACAGCACTTCCTTCCCAGCTTTGACCATTTATTTATTTCGATCTTTTTTTTTACAAAACATAGTTAATACCACAATCAATTCTCCAAATTTCGAAAAAAATCCTCATCAAAATTTCAAAATTTTTAATCAGAAATCCGGGTATGCAGTTTTGTAGCCCATTCAATTTCATTCATTTCAGTTCTAAGCGGTGAAAAAAGTTGCGTTGATTTTTAAGAATTATTTGTGCTGATGGTGTTGCTCATTTTCTCCAATTTAAAGAAATTTTCGAACATACTTCGTGTGGAAGAAAATTAATAACACCGTCTGCGAAAAATTTTTCGAAAATTGAACATTGTTTGAAATTTTACGAATTTTTGTAAATCTTGTAGAAGTTATGAAACTTTTAGTTACATGGTTTTCGTTGTAGCATAAACTATATTTTTAGAAAAAAAATAATAATTCAAAATAAATTGTCAATTCTTATTAAGGAGTAGAAGTGTGCCTAATTAAGCGGCCACCACGGTATGTACATATGTGTGTATGCATATAGCGTCGAACTTAATATGTACCTACTTTTTATGTACCTACTTTTTAATCTTTTCTTCTTTATTTCACCCTCATCCCTTTCCTTTCCTTTTTGCAGCTATGCTGGCCGCACTGAACTGCCAGACAATTTGAAAGTACTCTTCCGCACAGTGGCTATGATGGTACCTGACTATGCTATGATTGGCGAAATCACACTATACTCGAATGGTTTTGATCAGGCGCGAATGCTTGCACAAAAAATCGTCCATACATATAAATTGTGTTCCGAACAGCTATCATCACAATCACACTATGATTACGGTAAGTATATAAAGACTTGAACTATATACATATGTATAGTGCACACAGATGCAGGTACACCTGGTCTTCTACATACACAAGCGTATGGACTACTTATGGACAATGCATGAGGGAATAAATATGAACTGTTGTTAAGTAGAAGGGTTCTACGAGTGGTCACTGACATGCATACCTATTCATACTATGTTTGCACACAAATATCCGTTCATTCATTTTCGATTTCTATTTATTGTTGGCGGTATAGCGGTGGAATCATGCGTTTAAAGCAGTCGACAACGAAATCTATATGTATATACTATACTCATATCGTACTACATTCATATCGATATATTCGTTTCATTCAAGCGAATTCGCGTATACATTTTGCACAGCCATATTGATAGCTTCTTGTTTTTTGTTTTTTTTTTTGCTGCCATCCTTGCAAAGGAAATATGAAAGGCATAATGCAGAGTGGTGTTGTAACTGACAAGTTTCGATGAAGTGTTGTATTCTTTGCTAACAAAAAATAAAAATAAAAGTAGAGTGAAAAACTGTTTACAGAAGCGGAAGTGCATCAATAGTTGCAGGTGGGATTGTGGAAATTCGCGCTCAAAGATGACTTGCTTTATGACATTACTCCTTTATTTCTTCCTTCCTTTCGTTTGCTTCACATCATCATTTCACTCACTACTCAAATACATCCGTTTGTGTTGGCTTCTTGTTTGCTAACATCATTGATTTTTTTTTTCTTTTTTTTCTTTCTGCGTTATCGATGGGAAAAGTACTATTCCATATGTATAATTTTCAAAGATTCAAATATTGCAAACTATAATAGTGTTGTAGTGCCTTGGAAACTTTGTATTCTTTCTAAAAATTTAAAATGAAGTACAACAGAGTTTTCAAAGAATTACTTTTGAATCCTTTTACATGCCACAATAAGTCGGATTTAGTTTTGTATTTATTTTATAAGCTGGCATAGCAATTTTTACTTATATTTTTATTATACCCATTTAAGAGCGCTTTTAAGTGCGATAAATTAAGGAGAAATTCGAATATCTAAGTGACAGCACAAATGTTTATCGAATTGTGTCGATATCAAAAAAGTTCGCTAATTGCAGTGCAACAACATTTTTTGGGGCGGAATGATTCCAACTCAGGATGAAAGAGCAATACACATACATGAAAACTTTCAAATCTCTTTGCGTTTGCAGGTCAAATTTATTTGTTTATGGCCGTATTAAGTTTGCAATTTTTTGACTGTGTGTTTTTTAAAATAAGTGGTAAAAATTTGGTTAAAATTCATGTCGAAGCGAAATATGTAATTTGGGTATAGATATATAGCAAAATTTCGCGAAGAATAATTTTGTAGCAGATTTTAAATCAGTAATTCTTTCGCAAAAGGGTAATTTTCACCCCTACTTCGGAAAGTTTGAATAAAATGACATTTGTGGGGTCAGTAGAGGGTTAAAATGTTCTAGAAAATTGTTCGTCGACAAATTTCACCGGGGGGTATTATCAGACAAAATTCTCGGTATGCACAGGAGTCGCAATAATAAGTATGTTCATGTCGCTGCAAAAAAAGTGGTTCATTTAACTTTTGCAACATAATGCACCCCTTTAAAACAGGGATGGTAATCATTATGAGTAAAATAATTTAAATCAGCATTTAATCATTATTTGATGATTAATTTTTTTTTGCTTAAAAATAATAATTATTATTGAGTTTTATTTTTTCGATCAGATATAATAATTACACTGAACGACAAAAAATCACTTTTAATTTGTGACATGGACTTTTTTGGCATTAGGAAACTTTTCTTTCCAATCTCGGATTCAAATTCAATATCCAGCAGAAACACGACCGTCTGCGTTCTGGCTCAACCGTAAATTAAAACTTCCCGGCCATCAATCTTTATTCCACAGAGTTGCATATACAAAATCGTATTTTCTGACTAAATTGACAGGTCGCGACCTTTAAATTACCTTTCACAAGTCTATAAAAATAATATTTCATATAAAAACGAATAAGATTAGCGGGTAGTGTCTTGAAATTTCCAAAAAAAAAGCACTTTCGATGGGCACCCTAATGTACATATACTTCACATTTTGCAAAATTATCTACATACATTCTACATACATATCTACATACTCGCCAGCAATTTGAGTGATGAATTGGCAAAGTAAAAAAAAAATGCAGAATATTTTCTTTTTTTTTTTCTTTATAAGCAACTGTTTGTTAGAAAATGTTAATTTGGAAGTTTGACACCGCGTCAGCAGCGCGAATGGTCTGCTTCAATGACATTTAGATTTATGTATTTATGTAGGCAAATACGAATAGTTAGATAAATATCTCTTTTTGGTTTCAATAGAAAAACTTCTGAGTAAAAAAGTTAACGCCTCGCAGAAGTGCTTAAATTAAAAAGAAACTTTTGTGGGTGGAATTGCAGACATTTTATTAGAAATACATTAACGACACCCACAAAGATTGGTTAGAAAAATATGTCAAAAAGTTATCGATGGTGCTAGATTTATGCCCGAAAGAATTAGAAGTGTCATGATGTGTTTGCGTCAATGGAAAACTAGAGCAAATTTAAAACTTGTGTATCTAATACTTACCACAGAATTATTGTATATATTTTTTTAATGATAAAAAAATATTTTTCCTTTTGAAATCCCACTTTGCTTACATTTGGATCGTAACATTTTAGTTATTATCTTACCTATGTAGTTAAGCCACTCCGCTGCATATTTTTTTTACTGAATTTCTTTACTTATTTACTTTTATTATGCAGGTATGCGCGCTGTGAAATCCGTTCTGCTGGCATCCGCTTCACTTCGTCGTCTTTATACAACACTGCCCGAGGCACAAATTGTATTGCGCGCCATTGTTGATGTTAACTTACCTAAATTCTTGGAACAGGACGTATCGCTCTTCATTGGAATTTACATGGATTTATTTCCAGGCACCGAGTTGCCAGAGGCAAGCATGAAATTTTACTGTATTTTTAGCGAAGTATTTTTGCGTTTTGTGTTTTTTTTTTTTTTTGAGGTTTAAGTTATGGTGGTTGGGAATGGCGAGATATCTGCTTTAAACCAGCCAATAAATGGAAGTTGTAAAGTGTGGGGGATTTATTCGAAAGCAATCAGAGCTATTTTTTACCTCCCTTTTTTAATACACGGAAATCGGCGACTGACATAGCTGAGTTATTATACAACAAAAATTGGAGAGGAAGCTCGAAGAGATTATTTTAGATCAGTGTTAGGCCAAGTTATGAAGACTTCACGCTTCCGCTCAGAGGACATATTGACCCATTGTGAATAGCCTGTATGAGTGCCAGGAGGAGACACATCTCTCTAATTGGGATTCCACTATGACGTTTCTTAAATCACCTGCATTCTCAGATGAAATTGAAGAGGTCGATAGCTTCACGTCAGGTATCTACTTAAGCTACTGCGTGACGAAAATTTGACATTGACTTATAATGTGATAAATCGATTCCATATCGGTCTTTACCGGTTTTTACGTATGGAAACGAACGGCAACTTTAGCATGAGCTTGTCATTGGAGGTGACCGAATGCCACCATATAGAAACTTTAGGGGCAAAACAGTAAGAACTAAATAACGACCTCAATTTTTAATCCCGCTGGCTTCGTACTTTTGCTGTTCAGTCGGCTTTTTTCGGCGAGTTACTGATTGTTGAGTGTCAACCAATAAAAATTACCATCCCCAGCATCACCAGGGGTGTGTCTACTAGTGGTACCATTTTCTTCTATCAACTGACACGGTGGAATCAATTGCTACCTTTTGCTGAAGGGCATAGATGCAATGGTATGGTATCCTCTTTTGGCGGAGTACCTCAGCCCATTTACTATTAAACCTCGGCCATAACGGTCTTGAAACTTCACGTCGGGGTTGCTCCATAGGTCATATACATATTTCTAAAGTGATATATTCGCCAATTTTACTCAGTAGATCGGAAGTCGGTGGTTGTAAGAAGTTAGGCATGCCTAGCCATCTCATCGGCATTTTTCTTCCCTTCGATAATGCTGTCTTCGATAATCCAGAAATGAGTGATCTTGAGGTGATTCAGTGATGCTAGCGACACTTGACATTTCCGAACTATTCTCAACTATTAGTATTTAGTAACTTTTCCGTTTTGCATCAGTCAAGCTCATTCTTCTGTACTTTAAAGGATTCTAATACACTGCCGGAACAAAGTATTGGCACAGCAAATTTTTCACAATATATGCAACAATTTTTATTCTAATATTTTTCCGCCAATTTTGTATGAAAATATGGCTCACTCTATGACAAAAAATATATAAATACAATTCCTAAATTTTGTGCAAAACTCGCGATAATTCAGCAAATTTTCGTGCCAATTTTCAACTTTTTAATCAGAGTTTTTAGAATTTTTTGAGTATGCATATTTGTAGCCCAATCAATTTTATAATATTATAAAATACAAGTTTTAAGTAGCTAGGAATTACCGTTGAAATTTGGCAATCTTTTTCACGCAGTTTCTTTCATACAAAAATTTTTTTTTCGAAAATACTTTATTTGGAAAAAATGCAAAACACCTTCAACAAAAAAAATCTCAAAAATCAATGAGATTCTGGACTAACTCCGAACTGCATACTCAAAAAAATTCTAAAAAATCTGATTAAAAAGTTGAAAGTTTGCATTAAAATTTGCTGAATTTTCATGAGTTTTGTACATAAATAACTGTAATCTAAGGCATTTAATTTAAAAATCAAAAATAACTGCTATTTGCAGGTCGTTTTGATAAAAATCAAACATAATTGTTATTTTGGATTTATAAAATAAAAATCAGCAATACCTGTTATTTAAGGATTAATTAAATAAAAGTCAAAAATTTACTGTTAAAGAGCGACTTTTCTAAATACAAGTTATAACTGTTACGGCTTTTGAGAATTCCGCCGCAGAACTAGGATTTTTATTTTTTAAATAACTTGGAATTAGCCAATTTTCCTCTCGCTTTAATGTTATTTTAAATACTGGTATTTTCGTTTAGCCCAAACGCGATGATATACTCAAATGGCTGCATATTCATCTGAAAGATGCCAATTTACAACCAACACCGTGGTTTGTTGAGAAAATACTGCAAATTTATGAAATGTTGCTGGTACGACATGGCCTAATGATTGTTGGTGGACCAATGGGCGGCAAGACAACGGCATATCAGGTAAGTAGGAGATTAAATGAGCAATGCCGAGTTTATGGTCAGCCTAGAGGGATGAGAAAAATTTTTGACAATTTTAAACGAAATAAAATAGGACATGCGTGTAATTCAAACATTTAGAAAAAATCCCTTAATATGTACACATATGTATATGTTGAAAAAAGTTTAGACACATATGTGATGTGTATATGAATTCGTAGATTGTAGTGCAAAACTATATTTTTATATAGCTGCAAGTAATAAAATTTGCATACTAACATTTTTAAATACGTTTTATATTTGTTTGAAAAAAGGCAGTTCGCGTAAATAATTTTAACTTGAATAATTCTATCAAAATTGAATTGCGTTTTTCATGTGGAGTGTTGCCTTTTTTAAACTGCAGAATTGCGATGCAATTAGCCTCAGGAATGCTGCTCCATTTGCTGCTTTACGCGAAATTTAATTAACAATGTGAAAACTCTCAGTTCTAAACCATCAATAGGGGCAATTAAAAAGCTATATATGTATTTTATTTTTTAACATAAATATGTATGTATGAATGTATGTATGTTTGCGAATTAAAGTAGCTGTGATTGCTGGGAAATTCGAATGTCAGGATTTCTAGCAAAAAAGTGAAAAAATTTTAACTGAAATTTTAATAAAAATTTTAACAATATTTTTTTTAAGTTACGAAAAATGCAACCTTCCCTTTGCACTCTACCTACAAACACTAAGGGCGATGAGAAGGCAACATTTTTTGTAGAAACGAAATCGGCATTAGAAAAAGTTTCGAATTTTATTTTTTAAAACTATAATTCAATATTTTATGAATCCCACTTACTATATATGTACATATGTATGCAGATGCTCGCTTCAACTTTACGCTCCGTTAGCGTCGATGCCGAAGCTACTCTAAAAGAGTTTCCCGTCAATTATCGCATCATCAACCCCAAAGCCATTACAATGGGCCAATTGTATGGACGCTTCGATCCAGTTTCGCACGAATGGTACGATGGCGTATTGGCTAAAACTTATCGTGAAATGGCCACCGCACCAACCACCGAACGCCATTGGGTACTCTTCGATGGACCTGTTGATGCTGTGTGGATTGAGAATTTAAATACAGTTTTAGATGATAATAAAAAGTTGTGTCTCATGTCTGGCGAAATTATACAAATGACCAAAACGATGAATATGATGTTTGAACCAGCCGACTTAGAGCAAGCCTCACCGGCTACTGTATCACGCTGCGGCATGATCTATATGGAACCGTCACAATTGGGTTGGCGTACATTTCACAAGAGTTTCTTGAATGAACTGATCGATAAGATGGGTCTGAATGAAATCTATATGACTTTGTTCGACGATATGGTGGAGTGGCTAATACCAGCGGCTTTGGTAATTCTGAAGGATTGCAAACAAATGGTCGAACCGTCACCGATGTATCAGTATAAGGTTGGTCGTTTTTTTTATTTGGTTAATCTATAGATTTAATTTTATTATTTTAATTTTATAATTTTTTGTATCAAAATAATTAAGTATAAATAATATTTATTTTTCAGATGTTTTCACGTTTTTATTTTCATTTTTTGGACAAGCATAAGACATTTACTCAAGTTTGGTTCCAGCAAGTGTTTCTCTTTTGCTTCGCTTGGGCCTACGGATCTGCGTTAACAGGTACATATTTAAGATATAAAGATTTTCTAACAATGAAAGATAGCCCAACGCCCAGCTGGTTTCTCCCAAAGGCACTTTTTTGTTTTAATCAACCGTTTAAAATAGAACAATACATATAGCCACATAGATAATACCCAGTTTACACCACATTAGATGCATATATGCATTTAACTCGAACAGCGATACCCTTCTCTTGGTAATCGGATCGTTACTTTTAGCACCATCCGTCTGAGGGTCCACAGCAAACATTTTTAAAGTAAGTAACAATCTTTTTTATCCTCCTTAGTTGGACAGAATAAACTCCTCACTGCTCAGCCCCAATTTCTGTATTATTCCCTGATATATCCCTGGGAAACAGGATTCCCAGAGAGGATTCGTTCGTAGTTCGTTTCGCGCACCTACACCCACCACCCGAGACGGGTGCAGACAAAGAGATCAATTCCCACCCCTTACTGCACCACGCAGCAGCAGCTGTCCCACCATGCCCAGGGGACGATTCCGCCTACTTTAAAGAGCAGCGGACTAGTGGTCTCAGTTTTGAAGTGTTGCTGGTAGTGAGTTAGTTTGGGTTTTTTTTATTATTTATTTTTAGGTATTGGAATTCATCTCGGTCGTACGACCACTAATTCTACGTTGGTATTCCAGGCTGATGTTATTATCGGTGTTTATGCAGGATAGACGAAGCCTTCTACTTGTATTTCGAAATTATACATTGGCGTGAGCGTCCAGGCGCGAGCTGCAGTTATTTATTTTTTTTTTTTTTTGGTTATACTCTCTAAGCAAAGTTCAAAGAGGAAAACTGCTAAATAGACATGTTCATCTCTTTAAACGTTTTATTGACATAAATCGTTTTAATTTTATTACACCTAAAATAAAAGAAAAGCCAAAATATATTTTTCGTGCTTAACACGTTTTTTTACTACATATATATGACATTCTTCCATTTCTAAAAAGCAGAACATGCAGTTTTCCCCACACACATGGAACCTTAGGTCCTTTTCATCATAACTCTTTGCCGAGAGTACGAAAGTTTACTTTATCTACATACATACATACTTACGTACACATACAGCCTTCATGAACATACACTTTCTCACATCTGCACATACATATTTATTGACGCTTCAAACCACTCTAAGTATGTATGTATGTTCATTTATTAACTCCTCTCTTTCAGTTGACGGCCAAAAGAATTTCGATACGCTTATTCGCAAAATACTCTACGGCGGCAATGAGGAATATCCACGCCCCAAGTATTTCTCCCTCAATCGCGGTCAAATGTTTCCCGAGAAACTTTCACTCATGGAATATCGTTTCGATGAAGTGGAAAACTGGTGGCCCTGGCAAAAGTCCAGTGATGATCTCAGCGCTGCATCGAATACATTCCCAGAGCGTGCAATCATCAGTGAGCTCATCGTACCGACAAAGGAATCCGGTCAAATTACCTATTGGCAAGAGTTTTGTATCAACAAATCCTATCCGATGCTGGTTATTGGACCCACAGGCACGGGCAAGAGCGCTGTCATAGCAAGCAATCTAAATGCGCTGCCTAAGCATACAAATCTCGTCAACATAGTAAACTTTTCGGCACGCACAAGTGCACAGCTGGTGAGTCAGTTAAAGTAAAAGGCACTACATCTACATTAGCGTGGAGCGGAAACAAAAAAAAAATGTTGCGTTTCAAAATTTAAGTAGCGGGGTATCGTTGTCCTTCGGACGTCAAAAATTTTTTTATTCAGTTAATGTTATTTGTGTTTGAAATCTTGAGATTTTTGTAAAATCTAAACAAATAAGGTAAATTATCAAAATCACTTTTAGAAAAATTCAAGGTATACAGTTTTGTAGGCCATTCAACTATATAATAATAAAGTGCCAGTTTGAGGTAGCTAAGACTTAACCTTGGTTTCAAATTTTTAATTTTACCTACTTTTATGTATTTATTTTATTTTTTTTTCATTGTTTCCATATAAAAAGAATGTTGAAGTTACCCTGTATGGAACAAAATACGTAACGCCATCAATAAAACTCAGCGGTAATTTTATTTACTTATTTTATTTTATTTTATTTTATTTCATTTTATTTTATCTCATTTCATTTCATTTCATTTCATTTCATTTCATTTCATTTCATTT